CTAATTTTGACTAAATTATGTATAAAATTGTGTGTTGGTAATATTACTAACATCTATGCCATGCAACCAATATTATTTTCTTGTATTGTTAGTTGCATATGCATAACTTTATTTTAATCGACTTGGGGGTCTATTCTGTAAAAATTCCTTTATATTTAACGGCCTTTAAAAATATTGGCGGCCTTTAAAAGTATATTTGTATTCGTTAATTTACTTCTGTCATTATTTAAAAAGATTTCTTTAAGATAGTACTCTAATGTATTTTAAAGATCCGTTTAAATAATGACAGAAGTAAAGAAGAAAATATTTTTAAAGGCCGTTAAATATAAAGGAATTGTTACAGAATGGACCCCTTGGTGTGTTTATATTGTTTATTAAAGTTATTTTGTTCTTTAGTTTTCAAGAAAGTGATTTATTTTGTCGTGTATTATTATTATTATTATTATTATTATTATTATTATTATTATTGTTGTGTTTTAATTATTTTGTGCTGATTTAGATAGAAAATAAGGACCAAAACATTATTACTAGGTTATAAGTTCACTAACCAAATTTTATTTTGATATAAACTGTCAATAACAATGTATATATTAATTTTAAAACCAAAAAAGGTTTATTTTAATTTGTTTTCTTTTCGCAGCTGGTGACATAATGAATTTTCCGTAACCAGTTTCATAATGTTCAGCATTATGCACTGGTTGCATAAAGTAGATCATTGCGATACTTGCTGCGATTACAATAAAATTACACTTTATGTGTCAAAATTGGAAAAATCCTTTTAAAGTCCATATAATTCAAAAACAGCCCTTTTTAGACCAACTTACTGTATTTTCCAATGTTATTTCGCTTCTCCGGAAGAACTATGACGCAAGTGCATATTTTTACTTTTAAGGCCTATAAATCTTCAATTGTGTCAAAAAGAATAAAATAAAGTAGTTCTGTTTGAAACTAAAATAAATTTGCTATCTCGAAGTCCCCCTCGATTATTTCCAAACGTTTCCTTAACGTCTTATTTCTAAGTTACATATTACATTTTTTTTTTAATTTGCTATTTCTGTGGAATCATTAATTTTCACTTGCGTCATTGTTCTTCTGGAGAAGCGATTTATTAACCGCTTCGGTGTAATACTGTGAAGCCTTGTTCAGAGTAGGAATGGCGAGCGTCGCGATGCGATAGCGTCGCATCGAGCGACGGGATTGATATTTCAGAGCATCTGCATCGCTCTCACTCTGAATGTTTGCGATTGAAAACACTAGGTTGTTTTACCGACGACGCGTCGCTCGATGCAACGTTATCGCATCGACACGCTCGCTGCTCCTACTCTGAACAAAGCTTAAGAATACAACTATATACCTATCAAAATCGATTTTTCTTAATCACATTCAAAAAAAATGTTTATCCCTGATTCTCTGCCAGCAAAATGCTCCTTTGCAACTGCTGCCTTCATCTGTTCTTTACAATTAAGTACCACCAAATTGACAAAAATCTCAACTTCATCATCCATATACCAGAGAGTAGAAAACTTCCATGGTGTTATCGATCCATCCATATACCAGATCGGATTTTTGCCGGCAACGAACAGGTAGAAAAAATGTACCTATAATGAACCTTAATTTGCCTTCATTCTTGCACCCTAGTTATTTGTATGCCAAGCATCAAATTTTTCACGAGAAGGTATTGTGATTTATGTGAACAAAATATCGAGAAGAAATCGGACTTAAATGAATAACTCATAATAAAGTCATTTAATATTTAATTTAACTTTCTTATATAGAGTTTATTCTATGGTTGTATATGTATATCTGTTCAGTTAGGGGAAGTTTCTTTTTAAATAATTTTGGGAGTTTTTCTAATACATTAAAAACAGTATTGATCATGAAATATAATTATCTATAGATCACATTGACAACAACATGAACACACCAATTTAAAGTGTCTCATTTTGGTAATCTTTGATTGTACTGTAAAGTATGGTATGAATGGCTACAGATTAAGAAAAATATAAGAATACTCGAAATTGAAACATTAATTAACAAAACACTTTATGAAAAGCTTTATGATACATTCATTGTTGCATTTTACGACTAGCTATTTTTGTAATAGCTTTTGTTATTCAATCTACACTCCTGGCCTAAAATTAAATCATTGATTATTAGCGGATGGCGGAAATAGCTGTCTAAATAAAGTGATGAGGTCATTTATAAGAGGCACAACAATTTACTTTTATTGTAAAAATAGTAAAATAATGCTGAATAGTGACCGGAAATTTAGAATTTAAATTTCAAAATCTGTTGCTTTACATCCCGTTTGTTGGCAAAAAAATTTGTTTAAAACAATTTAATTATCCTCGAACAGACTCATAAAGAAGTGGCAAAATGTTTGGGACCGAATCGTGTTTTAATTGGGTGGGAGGAGAGGACAATTTTGGTTTCGAATATTTGAGTTACGCAAAATTATCGTAGATAGTGTAATAATCGATACAAATTCCCAAGAATATTGACTATTGGGGATGAAATCTTCAAGGTTGTCTGTGTTTATATTAAGTATATTAACACCATTATGTCTAGGACTAGAACGAGACACAAGAGATGCAACGAATTTTCGAGAAAAGATATCATTATTATTGATATGTCCCTTTTATTTCTATTTTTCTATCATAACAATTAAATTAGTTAATATCATAATTTTAGTGTTTTATTTACAGGTAATTGACATAGGTTAATTTTTCCCTAAAAACACGAAATAACTAATTTTATTCACAGATTTGTGTCCATCGTTTTTTTTTTAAAGATGGTTTAATAATACTTTAAAAGCAAATTATCAAGTTGTTATAGGTATATCGGCGTGGGAGACGTTTACGGGCGGAGCTGAAGAAATGCTATAATTAATGAGTTAATAAGCCCCTGACCTATTTAAAGTAGTCTGTCATCTGCCACTTGTACCAGCTATAGTGTTATTTACCAAACGGGGTTCCAATTGGTAGAACATCCACCATATTCGCCAGATTAGACCCCTAGTGACTATAGATTATTGCCGAAACTGAAAGAACATTTGCGTGGAAGTGACAATGATGTCAGTCCTAAATGAATTGTTTGAAGAGGGATAGCATTTCTTCCATAACGCTGGGCACAATATTAAAATAACTGAAACTAACACAAGAGTTTAACAAATCGGAAATATTCACTTACAGCAATATTAAGTCGAAAGTCATTTTTAAAATAACTAAAACCAATGCACCTAGGTGGTTCAACAAAAATAAAATTAGTTATGTTAAAGCTTAGTTTTACAGAATAATATTTTGCTTTGTTAGAAAAATAAAAACCTTTCATAGGCGGCGTTGAAATATGTTTGTAGGGAAATAGTACCTATCAATATTATTTAAACTGTACCAAAGTTACTTTACCATTCTAATAGGTATCTTTGATTATTCATTATAAGAATAATTGATCTACTTATAGCCCATCACACATGTTTTTTACATGTATATTGATCATGTAGGCGTGATTTTACAATAGTTTGTGCAACAAGAGTGGATATGATAACCGTACGGATACGGACAATCCACTCGAGTTGTACAGTATATTTTTTCTACGAGCTAACATGTTCCAACAGCAGTACAGACTGTGGTACAGAGCCGATTAGAATTTGTTTGCGGATATGTACTACACTGCAAAACAGTTCTGAAAATTTATAGAATATAACGTTGGCAATTTTGTAACCAACGTTAAATTATGTAATTTTCAAATTTACAATATTCAATATGTAACATTAGGTAGTTTTAATTAATATATTACGTAAGTAAACTTAATATATTGTGTAAAATTACTTGCACTACAGATATGTGAGATATTTATTCGTGATATTTTACCACAATTGTGTATGTTTACCATGTAAATAGTATTTACATTATCAGATGTGTCTAATATATTTATCTAATTTATTTGGTAAAGTTTACATAATAAATATTGAAAATTTTTCCTATATGTCTAGACTCGGGATTTTTAATTTGGTCATTGCATTTGAGTCACTCATATTGAGCAGTTCATCTCATATTTCTTTTCATTTTTCTCAAATTGAACGAAATAACCACTTAGTTGTATGAAGTTGTAAATATATTGTATTTCATATATCTGTGAATAAATCACAAGTATTATTTAATCGTCAGTGAGTTTTATTAATTGGAAAAGTTCACGTCAAGATAGTTCATTAGAACTACAAGCAACCATCTTACTTTCTGTGTGCACAAGTATGTACCACCTTCTCGTGTATTATATTAAAAATAATATTTGAATAACGTTCCCCAACCTGTAAACTCCCTACTACCTAAATTTGGTCAAAATCCGTTAAGCCATTAAACAAATATTGCGAAAAAAAAAAAATAAAAAGCGATTTTCATATGTAACACATCGTGTCACTACTTATATTTTTATCCCAAGACTCTGTCATTCTTCTAAACAATTAATTATTCATTTACCCTGTATATGGAGGGTGTTAGGGATATTAACCGTATAATTTAGACAGTAATTTATGAAACAAAATGGATCAAAAAAGGTTCATAAAGTTGCGTCCTATAGAATGTAACATTATGGCCCTCAATTATCAAATTTAATTGAATTTTATCTGACAAAATTTTCTATTTTGCAAGATATCGAGTATTATTTATAATTTAGAAGTTGTTAAAAAATGTTTGTTTTAGAGCACAACTTTCTAACGCTTTTTGCTCCAATTTATCTGTCAAGAATAAGATTAAGTTAAATAATTGGCATTCGCAAAATATATAACATTCTCTACGCCACTGCACAAAACTGGAGCAGAGATATTTATAATTATGTGGAGATCTGGGAGAATTTATTTTTAGCGAACTCTCCGAAATAAGCACCAATATACAGATAGTAACTTTAAACTTTTTACAGAGCGACAACCGTATGGCGTAAACGGCGGTTGAGAAAATCGACGCTCCACACCACCCGGAAAGTAGAAGAAATATGGCTGCCTTGAGATGGATCTAGCCGAAGTGGTTGAAGACTTGATTTGCACGTTCGACGGATCTGGAGACACCACTATGGATACTCTGGCTATGTTCGTTTTCGGCTGGATTTTGGCCGCGTTGTTCATACTCTGGCTCGGCCGGCTGCTCTATGACAAGTTCCAAAACAGAAAAAAGCTTTCGGGCGAAGCTAAAGCTAAGTTAGTTGACGTGCCCGCTAAGACCACCGACAGTATCGATGGCGATGGTAAAACGATTAAGAAAATCGCGGTGGCCCCCGTCATGGCCAAAGGTGCTGTTTCTTCGGGCGGCGGGGCTTATGTTCCTCCTACGCCACCAGTGAGAAAGAGGTTAACAAGGCAGAGTCCAGCGCCTGAGGTTAGGAAACCCAGGTTCGTACCGGCTCCACAGTGCACGGGGCCGGATAACGTGTGTGTTTTGTGGGTTAATGATGTGCTGCAGTGGTTGTACAATGATTTTGTTATTGTCAACGAGCTGATCGGGGTGTGGATACAGGCTTTGAACGAGCACACTAAAAAGTCCGGTGCTGAGGTAAGTTTTTTAAGACATTTTATTTTATTCTTTTTTCGTTTTTAACCCTAGTTAATCTTATATAGAAAAAAAATTGTTCCTCATTTTGCCTGTTATTAAAACTAACCATTATTTTGTTCTGAAACAATTTTAAACTAAGTATCTACTTATCAACTAAAATCAGTCCATCGATCCTCATTAAATTGTTTTGATTACTTTATATAAGTCACTCACGCACTGAGCTGAGCAATGGTCCTGATTTTTCAGCAGCTGAAGAGTAGGTGAAGTCATGCTTGCTAGCAAACCTTTTGATCTCTTCTTTCACTGTTGGATTTCTAAGATCTCGATGAAGATTTGCATTGTGCACGTACCAAGGAACGTTCACTCTGTTGCACAATACTTTGTTCTGAAAGGTTTAAATAAACTTAATGTTATCTCTGGCACATCCTCATAATTGAATTTCTTAAAGCCAAACCGTTCTTAATACCTGACTGTAGATTAATATTTTGTCATGTACTGACAGTTTTGGGTTTCTGTCCAAGAGCAAGTAGTGCTGTTTATATTTTAATTCTAATTCGATTTTGTTCTTTTTAACATGCACGTTTATCGTAACTTGGCATCAAGGGCTATGCCAAGGTACTTTGCATTCATTTCATAAGGTACAGTCTTTCCGTTGATATTTAGGGAGAGGAGGTACTTACTGCTATTTTTTATTAGTAAGGTTCACATGAATGGATTTTACTTAATTCCTAGACTAAGAAGATGCATATCAATTTTATAAAAAGAAGAAACACTTTTTTTTGCTGTACCATACCATTTCACGAACACTGAACAACGTATCTGGATAGATACATAATCTGTATGTACACGTTGAGTGAGTTATAATAATTTTTTTTTATGTAATAAATAAAAATCAAATGTTAATTTTATTGTAATACATAAAATATCAAAAAATGTATACAAACACGTAGAAGGAGAAAAATCATTATTTGTTATAAATATAAGAAATTAAAAGGAACAGTTCTGTTTTTTCTAATGCATACAAACGATCTTCACATTGTACCCACCTTTTGAGGAAAAAATGTAATTTTGTCCAATATCGAACTTCCTGTCTAATATTTGGGCTTTTTGAAAATTTCTCTTGGTTTATTTTGAGCACTTGCACTTACAATTTTATTTTTCTGCAATAATGATAATGATTAATTAAATTAAATTAAATTTTTTTGTATTGATGATTTTTTTGGGGCTAACTTACATATTTGAAAGGATGTTAATGTCACCTTATCTATATGTTTCAAAAGATATGTTTCTTCGTTATAAAATCTAGACGATATCTTCTATGGCAGTGTCCAGTATAGTCTGCGGTAAAGTTGAGTATGGTGTCATTATTTTCAATTTTGGCGGTAGATATAGAAAAAATTACGAACGTGATGGTTCGGACAGAAATTTGTTTAGGTCAAAATACACCGTAAAACATTATACTTTTTTTAGTTTTTTTTTTCCGGGATATTTACATGTATTCTATCCAAAAAAGTTTTAAACAAAAGTTGTTCTCCACAAATATATCTTAAGCTGAAAATAAGGATAAGGGAGGGTTAAATTCTGGGAGAAAATTTTGGTATTTCAAAAACTAACTGCTTACCGCGAAATTTACACAACAAACTTCTAAATGAAGGATGACGAACAATAGTGCTTTGAAGTTATTTTCACAAACAATTTAGAATAAATCCCTGCACCTCTAAGGGTGAAAACAAACTGGAGAAAAATTAAATTGGAAAAAATTCTTCCCCAAAAATTCTGATCGGAGCGGAATTTTTTCAATTTCTTTTTAATTAAATTTTCCAATTTCAGTTTGTTTTCGCCCTTAGAGGTTCATGAATTTATTACTGAAATTGTTTAATTTCCTAAACTGTTTTCACTTGTTTCTGCAATTTTAAAACCTACTAAATTATTTCAGATTACTGTTTACTCTATTTTTACAGAAAACGCAAACAAAAATATTAATAATTAAAACAAATATTAATAGTTATTACACCAAAACAGTGTTAAAAACAATGTACCTCACTCTCCGTTAAAATAAAAGTTCAGTGCACAACTTTGATATTTTGGTTTATTATTTAAGAAACGTAGAATCAGAATCTGCAATAAAAATAAAATCTATCTGTCCATCGAACGCAAGCATTTTTAACATGCCATAACTTCGTTAATAGTAGTCGTTTTTTATTTTGTATACAGGGTGTACCAATAAAAACTCCCAGGCCGGATATTTTAGTAAGTAACAGAGATATTTTAATTCTATGAAAGCCAGTTCACAGAGCACTAAGAGAGCTTCAGTTTTAGATATAAATTGATTTTAAATAGGTCAATATGTACATGGCGCTGCGCTCAATAATTTTTTTTCGATGGGAGGATCTTTCTTACATAGCGCATCTTAGAAAAAATGCATTTTTAAGCAGATTTTGTTCTATGAACTAATTCGATAAATCTAGCAATTTTTGATATACAGAGTGGGTCACTCAAAACAGTTTCATCCTGTTTTTTCAGCATTAATCAATGGATTTTAAGAAAATGCTAAAACAAGTCGATTTTTATTCCAAATTAAAAACAATTTTACAATACAAACATCTGTCATGTGTCAATCCCCTCTCTTTCATTTCTCCAACACCTTAATTTTAAATAGGTAATGTACCATTTATGGCACATCATTGAAAAGGTAATTTAATGGGAGATTCGGAAATATTTCTGTACATTGCGTTACTTAAATTGTATCGCCCTCTAGCGGGATAAAAAAATACTACGTATTATAGAGTGTGACACTACAATGTGTAGTACATCATTAAAAAGGTAATTTTATGGGGAATTAAAAATATGACTGTTCATTTCGATACTTTTAATTGTACCGCCCTCTATCGAAAAAAAAAACGTATTATAAAGTGTGACACCTTATTTGAAAGCAAATTTAATTACTAATTCAATGAACCACATAACATTAATTAAATATCCTCCATATTGCACTTGTTTGAAAATTAGTCATGTATTATTTTAAACATTATTGCTAAATTTATTTTGTTGCAAGTGCAATATGGAAATATTTATATTATTGTTATGTGGTGCATTGAATTAGTAATAAAATTAGCTTTCAAATGAAGTGTCACACTTTATAATACGTTACAGGTTGTAACATTTTAAAAGTCTAATTATAAAATGTTATTTTAAATGTGTGCCATCCGGTATAATTTAATTATCGCCAACACACAATATTCTGAAGAAAGGGAAATTTCTTGAAGTGGGAGTGCCACTAACCAAACTATCTCAAATTAGATTCGTAAATTTCATTTTATCGTTACCTTTCAATTGTTTTGGTGGTATATCGGCTGTTCAAGTGGTAAGCAAAAAAAAGTATACAATGTCTTTATTAAACATCTCAGTAGAAATATTATTCAAACCTTTTGTTAATTATTAGTCTTTTTAAATAGTAAAGTTAAATATATTTTTATGATTCATTCTGGTTGCTAGAACGGCACAATATGTATAGTCACTAGTTTTTATTATCTGATTGGTTCATTTTTTTTAAAAAAGTAGATGTTTCAAATTTATATATCGTACAGAACCACGTGAAAAACAAAATCTATTTTTGTCTAGCAAACGAATAGAATTAGCTGTAAGCCATAAGCTGTAAGCCATAAGCCATAAGCCGTAAGCCATATGACATAAGCCATAAGACATAAAAAACCAGCCATATCGTCACAAGCCGTAAATCTACACAACAGCTGTAATCAGAACGTTGGTTTTCGAGGATCTTATAAAAACTCGTTGATTTGGACAAGCGACAGCTGTATTTCGAAGGCGTTGGTTTCCGAAGGAAGAAATCTCGACTACCTATGGCTAATTAAGGATGGTTAGCTAACAATGTAAAAAGTGGTAAATACTAGTGACTAGTTATTTATGTACGAATCACAATTTGATACTGGTTTACTGTAAATAATTGTTTTCGAAAAGATTTCTTTTTTTAATAAAATCATTGATTTTTATAAATATATATGTTGAATCTTATTTTTTAAAGGTTACAAAAATTCTCTTTCATCCACTAAATTCTGTATAATTTTTATTAACTTCTTTTAATTGATAAAGCTAGAATTTATAATTCTCACTAGCTTTTAAAAATAAAAAAGAGAATTATTGGTGCCCAACATTTCCTAGAAAGATTACTACCCTTAAAATTGTCTATTTGAAAAGCCGAATTTACGACAGAGAAAAAGAAGTGCTCATTTATTTTTGTTTAATTTCTAAAGGTAAGTAACGTTTGATAATAAATTTCACTGAGCTAGTAAAAATCTCTATAAGTGTTTTAAAATTAACATTTATCAAAAAGGTAACAAATAATAATGCAAATTGTAGCCTAACGGGTCAAGGGCATATTGCAAGGTTTTTTATTCCGATAGATGGCGCTAAAATTAAAAGTATCGCAATAAACGGTCATATTTCTAAATTTCACATAAAATTACCTTTTCAATGATGTGCTGTACATGGTACATTCCTTATTTAAAATTAACAGGTTGGATAAGTGAAAGGGAGGGGGTTGACACATGACAGATGTCTATATAGTAAAAATGTGTTCAATTTGAAATAAAAATCGACCTGTTTTAACATTTTTTAAAAATCCAATGATTGATGCCGAAAAACAGGATGAAACTGTTTTGAGTGACTCACTCCGTATATCAAAAATGGCTAGATTTATCAAATTAGTTTATAGAACAAAATGTGCTTTAAAATTCATTTTTTCTAAGATGCGCTATGTAAGAAAGATCCTCCCATCGAAAAATAAATATTGAGCGCAGCGCCATCTACATATTGACCTATTTAAAATTAACTTATATCTTAAACTGAAGCTCTTCTAGCGCTCTATGAACTGGCTTTTACAGAATTAAAATATCTCTATTACTTACCAAAATATCCGGTCTGGCAGTTTTTATTGGTACACCCTGTATATCAATAATTTCTCCTTTTCAACGGTATAATTC